TACTAGTCGGCAAAGCGCTGGGTGTATGCGAGGAGAAGATAAGATTCTCGGTGGGATTGAATGCTTGTGGCTACTGCTTTTTGTAGCTGCTGCTAGAAGTCGATCTCATTTTTTTGCGTAGAGCGCTAGATCTCTGCTAGCATACAATTTACTACTACTTGGCTGCTGTTGAAGCCTACCATAGCTTAATCTTAGTTATGAATATTAGCAATTACAGTACTTAAAAGATATGTGAATGAAATATTGGAAAGATTTGTTCAAAAAAATATTGAAAATAAATACTATTTTTGAAGGGGAAAGATATTTGGGGCTCACCTATGAACTACCTGATCATCAATATATTCCTCAAATCTCGATGTTCCTGATGCCGTTGATGAGATAGAGAGGAGGGAGGGACGAAGAGTTGAGAGAGTACCACAATGGTGCATCCTGCTCGAACTACTATGTCGTCTCCGACTCTCCGTCACCCTCGACGGGCTCCTTGTCCTGGCAGGCAAGGTCGCGCCTCACGCCGCGTGCATCCTCAACCCGTTCACCGGCCACATGGTCCGGTTTGCAGCGCGCATGCGTCCCCACGTGATGGCGGATACTGATTCAGACGATTGATTCTGTGTCCTCATATTTTGTTAAGCCTTAGTAGTATAAGATTAATCCGTTGCAGTATTTTTGGTCTTTAAGCGGTTGTTTCTTATGTGTGCAACAAGCAACTCGTTCTTTCTTCAAAAGTATATGAATGCAATGGTTTCTCTTTTGTTTCTTTGTTTTTTCTTTTTTTGAAAAAGAGAGCGGCCTCTCCGATCTCCATATGTCAGAAACCACATTATCTGTTAAGAGCTACCAAACCTGGCTAGGATATATGTAAAAACGATGCACACCCCGGGAGCTGAAACAGCCGAGCAAACAAGCCCGCACAGCAGCCCAAAACGCAAGGCAATATAGCCCCTAAGCGAAGCTACCGCCAAACCTACAGAGTGCAGTAGAATTTAAGTTTTATATTACAGACCATCGACGAAATCAACTAAGTAGCGAAGAGGAATAAAAGGCCATCTAAGTCGAGACTCCAGCAACCCAGAGCTTCAAATGCCACGCGAGATGGATATGTCTTCACCCCATAGCGATCCTATGTTTGTTCCTCCATCCCAGCATGGTTTTGAAAACCTCCTCAGCGATCATCTCAACTTTTCTTACGCACTCCCTTATTAGCCTTTGTTTTTCTGGATTTATCTGCAAAACAAGCCTGTCCTGTAGCATTTTAACAATTACATTCATAGGCACACAAGGGTCAGTCACCTTGTTATTATCAAACACAACTCCATTTCTTAATTTCCAAATTGTCCGAGATATAACAGACCCCAACAGTTCCTGTTTATTAAAGGATGCCAACCATACATTGAACAAATCTTGCAGATTGTCAGGGATTCGACGAACGCACACTGGACAGTGTTACAGAGCAATCTAGCTACCGAGCATCTGAGAAAAGATGATCAATGATTTCCTCTTGCATACAAAATGGACATTGGCTTTCACCATTCCACCCTCTCCGGAGTAGAATATCTCTAGTTATAAACTTATAATACTGTTCCTAAGCGCCAGCCACATGAAAACTTTCACCCTAGGTGGCATCTTTTGTTTCTTAGTAACAATTCAATCTGCGATAGTATGGAAAGAAAAAATAGTTAGTAATTAATTGGTCGTTATGATTACAAGTTATGATCGATGGTAGCAAATCTTGCACAGCCGTGCAAATTTCAATTAGTTGATAGCTTGATATGCATTCTATATATCTAAGAGATTCATCCCAACTATCTTATTTATCTTGACATGTGGCCTATCCACAAAAGTACCAAGGGCATTTCTAACCGATCCTTTATAACCGGTTAGAGGAGTAAAAATTTGTTTTTAGTCCTCTAACCGGGACCAAGCTGATCCCTTATCCGTCGTAAGGGAGTATAAATTTTCCTCCGGCTTTTTTCCTAAATATACTCCACCGCTCGGCGACTGAGTAAAAGACGCGCCTCTCCTCCACTGCCTCCGCCCTCCACTCCCGCGCCGCATCTATGTCAGCGCCGCCCCTCCCACACCCCATCAGCACCCACCTGCCACCGGGGACGCTCGCTCCGTTGCTGCCCGCGCCAAGTTGGATTTGTGCCTTCTCGTCCCGTCGCTGGAACCAGTGAAAGGGGGTCCGATACTCTGTGCATGGTGAGGATGTGGACTTGGGTGCAACGGAAGAAGACACTGCAAGTGAAGAACTACATCTGACGCCACATATAACTAAATCCAGCGACTAGTAGGAAGTAGTCAGTAAAAAAAGAAATTTAAACAAAAAGCCCAGTGCTAATGTATAGCACGTGCTAACCCGGGGGATGCAACTGCGCTATTTTTTCTTACGACTATATCCTCATAGGGTATTTTTTCACTGCATTTGTTTTGGTCCGTACGCACTTATCGGTGCTGGGTCACGGATGGGCTCGAAGGCCATCTTTTCGTCCGTGTGCACTTTTGGTGCTGGGTCACGGGTTGGGCTTGGCGGCCTCTTTTATTTGTGCACTTTGGCATCTTTCGCAGCTGACAGCCGTGCATGATCCTTATGTTGGCGTTAAAATGGACAGAATTCGGCCTAATAAACTAGTCGGCCTTTAATTAAACTCCCGATATGGTACTAATTAGTCTGCGCAGCGATTTGCCCGGTGGAATATTCCCGCACCGGGCCACCCGACTGGGCCCGTCCCCTTCCCTCTCGTCTGCCCCCTGTGGAGCGCCCACCCAAGCTGCTCGATTTCCCCTAGAAGAAAAACAAGCTGATCGAGGGCGGAGACTCGCATCAATAATGCTACACTTACGGATGCTTGGTTACAGACCAGCGTTTGCTTAGCCAGAGGGATATCATCGGAGGGCCCGCAGAGGAAAATCAAGGAACGGCCGCTCAACACGTCAGCCTGTAGCGTTCTTCGGTGCAATTGAGAGCGGAGCTGCCCCAGGGCCGAGTCCATCGTGCGCGACTTCGTCCGGCAGGCCGTCCGCAAGGACGTCGGCCTCCCCGCCGGCCTCCTCCGCCTCCACTTCCACGACTGCTTCGTCCAGGTACCCTTGCCTCGCCTGCGTTGATTGTTTCCCGAATCCCATCAATCCAGTATTTGGCTCATGCATCGAAATGCAGGACGCGTCGGTGCTCCTGGACGGGTCGGCCACGGGGCCGGGGGAGCAGCAGGCGCCGCCCAACCTCACGCTGCGCCCGTCCGCCTTCAAGGCCATCAACGACATCCGGGACCGGCTGGAGCACGAGTGCCGCGGCGCCGTCGTGTCCTGCTCCGACATCCTCGCGCGACTCCGTGGTCCCCACGGGCGGGCCGGAGTACCGCGTGCCGCTCGGGCGCCGCGACAGCCCGCGGCTCTCCACGCCGCAGGACGTGCTGTCCGGCCTCCCCGCGCCCACCTCCGCCGTGCCGTTCCTCCTCGACGTGTTCCACAACCACAGCCACGACCTCGACGCCACCGACCTCGTCGCCCTCTCCGGCGGGCACACCGTGGGGCTCGGGCACTGCGCCTCCTTCGAGGGCCGCCTCTTCCCGCGCCCCGACCCCACCATGAGCTCCGACCTCCTCCGCAGGCTGAGGCAAACGTGCCCGGCCAAGGGCACCGACCGCCGCACCGCGCTGGAGTCTGGACGTGCGCACGCCCGACGTGTTCGACAACAAGTACTACGTCAACCTGGTGAACCGGGAGGGGCTCTTCGTATCGGACCAGGACCTCTTCACCAACGACGCCACTCGGCCCATCGTGGAGCGCTTCGCGCGCAGCCAGCGGTACTTCTTCAGCCAGTTCGGCGTGTCCATGGTGAAGATGGGCCAGATCAGGGTGCTCACCGGCGACCAGGGCCAGGTCCGCCGCAACTGCTCCACTCGCAACCCCGGCACCGCCGACGGCCTGCAGTGGTCGTCCCTGGTGCAGACCGTCGTGGACGCCGCTGCGGAGAGCCTCGGTTTCTAGCATTAGAATGTAACTAGTGGAGTAGTAGTACCAGTTAATCATGTCGAAATAAAATACGTAGCGAGCAAGGCAAGGCGTGACGATGAGTCTGTGACTCTGTGTACCACCCAAACGTGTGTTCTGTTCACCAGTTAGTTTAAGTGGGACTGTCTATTCTGCAATCGACTGATTTGTAATTGGTTTTCACTCAAATTTATCAACCAATAAACAGGTGACAGCTGTATGTCCTTTTTTTTCCTGGGGAAAACGGGTCGGGCTGTATATGTGACCCGTCAAGCGACTAACAGCAACAAAAAAGGTTGAACCAGTCGCCCCTCTATCTTTTCCTTTCCTGTACATCAAAAGCACCTGACAGAAAAAAAAAATCAACATTAAAACAACTGGCATCTCTCCATCAACTTGGAGGCCACGAAAAAGGCTTCCCCCACGACTCTTCTACCCCCTTTGACTCTCCATCAACTTGGAGGCCACGAAAAAGGCTTCCCCCATGACTCTTCTACCCCCTTTTCACAGATCTCACCTAACAGGTTGTGGGTGAGGAGATAGAAGTGGAAGGCGATAGAAAGAGACGCCATGGAAGTGGGAAAGGGAGGGGAAGAACATGGCACGGACGCCATGGGAGAGGGGGATGGGAAAGAAGAAGAAACATGGCAGGGGCGCATGGGAGAAAGGCAATTACCTGGAGGGAGAACACACGCAAGCACTTGGGGGTCACAAAAAGATCATCCACAGGTACATGAAAATCTTCACCTCCTCTGTTGCACTCTGCTTTTGGTCACCTCTGTTTTGAAAGACTACATTAGGTCCTGAATAGGAAACAAAGCGGAAAAAGACATGTCACTAATTCGCCAGGGGAACACTGTGGAGAAACAACTCAAGCATGTATGACATAGTCAGAAAATCCCAAACTAATGTACTGAACATTATTGTCACTACATAACACAAGATATATACTGCCATCCTACCAAAATACAACATGAACACTGCCACTGTTAGTTTCAGACAACATTTCAGTGCATACAGAAAGAAGAACACATTTAGGGGACACCAGAAAATTTCAGGAGAACTGCCACTATTGCTAAGAAAAATTGTACAGTAATATAGTTTCCTTTTTCTGAAATTTGTACTGACATTACTTCAAAACTCTTAATTGCAGGTGCAAAGCAATCAAAAAGCAGTGACTGAAGAAGACCTAATGTCAATGTCACAAGAAGAGATCATACCAAATGTGAGTTATAAAATGCCCAGAAATGACAAACAAAAAACTGGGAAGATCTTTATATGCATTAGAAGTTGATAAATTGAAATGAATTACTGCAGGAATCATTCTCATTTACTGCACTCCTGCAATCGGACATCATATACAAGGTAAGAAAAAAAGAGCAACAAACTGCAAAAAGTTGTAATACCTGAATTTGAAACAGCAAGAGGACAAAACAAAAGCTGTCTTGTGCTTGCAGGTACACTCAGCAGGAGGATCAACAAACATGAATCGCCAAAATAATGGAATCTTCAGCAAACAAGCAGAAATCAGTTACAACTCAATAGAAGGCGCAAGAGTAAGTGAAATTTCTATCTGAAACAAATGTGCAATTTAGGGTATCAAAAGATAAAGAGAATAACAAAGTATATTCTTGACTTACTCAACAGACATGGCAAGAAATGCATGAAGACAATCAGACAGACCAAGAGGCAGCAGCGGGAGCTAATCCTTGGGAGGTGGACCTGTTTGAGAACATCAACATACAGCAGGTGAGCAGAAACTAAAAAAATTGATGTGATCCAAGTATACAATATTGTATATTGGAAAATGTTGGAAAATTACTAAATCTCACTAACAGAGAAAAAAAATGCAGATGAATGATGATCCTGAACCTACACCTACAGCCAGCACTGACAGGGCCCAAAGCAATCAACAAGAAAAGGGAGAAATAGAGGTCTTGCATCAACAACCTGAAAGCAATGCCTTCCTTGGAGAAGATGATCCATTTCTTGATGAAGATGACATTGAAAAGTTCCTCCAAAATGAAGAGGACGCATCATCAGAGGGTAATTTGATGAACATTAGCAGCAGTTTCAAACCACACCTTGGCATGCAGTTCAAAACAAAACAAGAGGGGCAAGAATACTTCAACTTCTACTCAAAAATAGCTGGGTTCTCAGTGGCTACTGTGGCAGCATCAAGAACAGTGAGCAAGAAAAGGAATAATGAGGTTACAAGAATTACTATGAAATGCAACAAATATGGGAAGACAAAAGAAGTGGACAAGGAATGTGTAGTGCCTATAAAAAAGACTACTGTCATTGCAAAATCTGATTGCAAAGCTATCATGGTCATAACTGAGAAAGGAGGTGTCTGGGAAATTACAAGACTAGAACTTGAACACAACCATGAGATGACGCCAAACAGTAGATTCTTTAGATCGCACAAATACATGTCAGATGAGAAGTGCCTGATAAGAGTTTTGAAGCATACTAACCTAGAGACAAGAAGGATAGTTGCTGTCCTGGCATACTTGAGAGGAGGCACGGCTAACCTACCCTACACAAAGAAGCAAGTTACAAATTATGCTGGAACAATTAACAGGGACATCACAAACTCTGACATGATGGAAGTAGTGCAAATGTTCAATAAGAAGCAAGCATAAAATCCTGGGTTTTGCTACTCATTTGAGCTAGATGGAGAGAACAAAGTGAGAAGCTTATTCTGGACAGATGTGAGGTCAAGAATTATGTACGACATTTGTGGTGATTGCATAAGCTTTGACACTACATTCCTAACAAACAAATACAAGCTCCCTTTCGCGCCTTTTGTTGGAATATCACCACATGGAAACACATACTTGTTTGTGTGTGCATTCATTATCAATGAGACAGAAAATACATTTTCTTAGTTGTTTGAACAATTCTTGATGGCCATGGGAGGCAAGCATCCAATATCTATCATCACAGATCAAGACAAAGCTATGCAATAAGCAATAGAAAGAGTTTTCCCTAATACTATACACAGGAGTTGCTTGTTCCATATAAAAAAGGCAGAGGAAAAGGTAGGACCCTGTTTCCAAGCAAACGAGGGCCTGTATGAGGACTTCCAAGACATAGTGGACAACTCACTGACAGTGGAGGAATTTGAAACACAGTGGACAGAAATGATAGATAAGTATGAAGTTCACCACATAAAATACTTCAGTGACATGTGGGAAAACAGGAAAAAAATTATTCCTGTATATTTCAAGGACAAATTCTTCCCATTCATACAAACAACAGCTAGGAGTGAGGGGACAAATGCCCTATTCAAAAAGGGTGTTGGAGCGAAGTTTGGTGCTACAAGCTTCTTAAGAGAATATGACAGGATAATTGATGTTGTTCACGATAGGGAGGAAGAATGTGACCACAACTCAAGAAACAAGAAAGTTGCCATGAAAGCATTTTGGTAAAAATATGGAATAGAAAGGCAAGCTCACGAACTATACAACCTTGGCATCTTTAGGAAATTTCAACAAAAAATGGCAGACACCACAAGACTTAACGTGTTTGAACAAGAAAAAGACAGATACTACACTGTATGCCAATCTGAAAGCTATCCCCTAAAGGAGCTAAGAAAAAGAAAATACCTGGTGCAACTTTGCCTAAAAGAAGAAGAGTACTCTTGCATATGTTGTACGTTCCAAAAAGATGGAATATTATGCTCACACATTCTGCGAGTAATGATCCATCTAAACATTGAGAAGATACCGGAAAAATACATCATAGATAGATGGCGCAAGAATGACTACAAAATAGATGTGACAAAAACACCAGCAGTTGCAGTAGAGAACTCGACATTGAGATACAACATGCTAGCAAGGAAATTGGTGCATGTTGCATCCAATGCATCAAAAAAGAAAAGGAAATATGAGTACCTCCTAGGAGAATTGGATAGGATACAGAAAAGGCTGCGAGAAATGGATGATGAAGAAGATACTGGAGATGAAGGGAAGACTGCGACCACAAGAACGGTCACTTTCATACCAACAACAGGGAGTGGAGAAGGGGCAACCACAGCACTGACAATACAAGACCCAGATATAGCCAAAACAAAAGGTAGGCCAAGAATGCTCACTATACGTGAAGCAATAAAGCAAAACAAGTTCTACAAATGCTCGCACTGTGGATCAGAAAGGCACACCCGCAAGAATTGCACCAACCTTGACAAACAATACAATTTACCAAGAAGCAACCGACGGAAGCAGTCCGACCCTAGGAATGTAAAGAAAGGTATAATAAGGAACTATTTGTAGCTCCCATACTACACTTTAATTCATTGATTGAAAAATAACAAAACAATTGCAGGGGGGAAGAGGAAGGCAGCAAGCAAAAGACCAAAGCGAACAAGAAGGACAAGTCAGCAACAACTGAACCCTAGGGAGCAAGGATCTTGGGAGGACAGAGGAGAAGATGGATAACTCTTGGCAGACAACAAGGAAAAAAGGCATCGAGAAAAACTCTAGGGAAAAGATTGCTACGAACAGTTCTTGGTTTGTGCTTTGGGGGGCAAGCATTGATAGCTACCTACTAACTACCAGACCACTACTTTGGGAGGCTTTTATTTAATTCAAATGTTTCTGCCTTGTCAGATGAAAGTTTTGTATTCATATTGTTTAAGATTATTTGGCTGATTTATAAATACATGAAGCAAAAGTGACAAAAAATAGCATCGAACAGGTACTTAGAGAATACAAAAAAAATAGAACAGAAAAATAGCAGAAAAAATTTACCCTCGCAGTCACTCGAAAAATATTTCTTAATCGGACTTGTTCAAAGAACTTCATGACTATATGACAACACTGCACACACACAAAAAGAAGAGACAAAAATGTAAAAAATTTAAAATACAAAAATAAAATAAAAAAATAAAAAATGTTGAATGTAGGTATAAACAATAACGATATGCTGAGAAGAAATGGATGAAGAGGTAAAAAAACTTACTTAGTACGAGTCAGAAGTTTGAAGTCTACAAA